AAGAATGGTTCCTTTTCAGTGTGTGTGCATGAGTATTTTTGTGTGTGTGTATGAGTACTCCTGTGTGTATGTGTGTGTGTAAGAGTATGTCTCTGTGTGTTTGTGTATGAGTATTTCTGTGTGTGTGTATGAGTATGTCTGTGTATGTGAGTATGTCTGTGTGCGTGTATAAGTATGTATGTGTGAGTATGTCTGTGTGTGTGTGTGTGTGTGTGTGTGAGTATGTCTGTTTGTGTGTGTGCATGAGTATGTCTGTGTGTGTATAAGTGTGTGTGTGTGTGTGTGTGTATAAGTATGTGTGTGTGTGTGTATGAGTATGTCTGTGTGTGTATGAGTATGTATGTGTGTCTGAGTATGTATATGTATGAGTATGTCTGTGTGTGTGTATGTATGAGTATGTCTGTATGTGTATGTGTATGTCTGTGTGTGTATGAGTATGTCTTTGTGTATGAGTACATCTGTATGTGTGTGTGTATGAATATGTCTGTGTGTGTATGTTTGTGCCTGTGTGAGTGTGTGTATGAATATGTCTGTCTGTGTGTGTAGGAGTATACCTGTGTGTGTGTGTGTGTGTGTGTATGTATGAATATGTCTGTCTGTATTTGTGTGTCTGTTTATTTGACTCCCCCCGTCCCCTTTCAATCACATGGGAAAGGTTTTTTTATTCTCCTCTTGGTGCCATGGGCCACTTGACTGAATGAAACTGGAGGAAAGCGAGGATGCAGAATGACAGCAAAAGGGTACTGTGCTGCTGAGAGGAGAAAATGTTGTGTCAGCATATCTACCGTCTCTTTAACCTGGGTGGCACCATGCAGGTCAGGAAAGGGCTGGTTATAAATTTGTCCTGCGGACAACTACAAGCAGCTTAATCTGAGATCAAATCTAAATCAGCACATTACTCACGGTGCCTATAGAGATATCACCTATACCTCACTGATGATGCCTAACAAGGCTGAAACACTCGTCTGGGGTTGCTGTGTCTCTCGTGCAAAGATGTTCTCTCTGTAATGGCACAAGATGAACTAAAACCAGCTTGAGATCTAAGCAGGGACCCATCGAAGGGCAGGATATTTCAGCTGCTGCCCGTTCTCAGTATATTATTGCACCCCTTTGCCCCTAGACGAGTGGCCCCTAGTTTTAATGCCAAGCCAACATCTAAATATCTACCTGTGCCAAGAATGGTTCCTTTTCAGTCCTACTTGCTCAGACTTTCTCATGCTAGTGAAACCAGAGACAATTTATTTAAAAATGTGTATTTTGTAAAATATACATTTATATAGAGAGTGGCCAGTTTAATTATATGCCTGTTTGTTAATGCAAATGTCTAATTAAAGAATTCTGTGGCAGCAACGCAGTGCATAAAAACATGCAGATGTGATCCAGATATTTCCAAAAGAATGAAAGGTTCTAAAACAAAGAGAATTATACAAGATGTATAATAAATTATACTGAGGGACAAGATGACACAGACAGACACCATGATGTAAGAATTTGAATATGTATATAAGATATAGTAAACTTAAGGGTGGCATGCTCCCTACCCTTGAAACTTGCAACAAAATAGCTCGAAGGAAAGCAGAGAAAAATACCAATGGTGTAATATAAATTGCAAATGGTGAGAAAAAGGTAAGTGTATATATAGCAGCGCTCACTTGGTGTAGAGCCACTATAGAACAACAAGATATTGCATAAGGTAGCAAACATGGTATGGTACTCCCCTTGATGAAGGGTGGACCAGGCAGGCAAAGAGGCTATTGCTGGAAGGTTTGTCAAGAACCATTTATTAAACCATAAAATAAAAAAATACCCAGAACAAAGAGAAAAACAATTGAAATATGAAAACAGTAAAAAGCACTATAAATTCCTCTGGATTCAAGACGTGTTTCACCAAGTCAGGGCTTCTTCACTCGGAAAATATTCTTCTGTGCCGGAAATCCCTTTCTAAAGTGTGCATGTAATTACTGCTTGTAATTACGGTTTCAGCCAACCAAAATCTTATTAGGCTGGGAAAAAAGTCTGCATTGTTCAGATACTCAGGAGTGAAAATTACGTATCAGCCATCTTGGTGTTGAGTCACTTCTGGTTCCAAGGAGCCATGCATTCCTTCCATGTGTCCATGTCATTGTGTGTTTCCATGGAGACATATTTAGACATGGAATAGAAGATTTTTACAGAATACAGAACAATTAATTTTTGCCAATGATGATAATATATTCAGTAAAGTGCATTTAACTAATGTGCAAAGAAATGTACACATACATTGTACTGGTATTCAATTTGACCGTTGCTAACCTCACATTAATGCATGTTGTGCTATGTAGTCCGCTAAGACCATATTCAGCCTACAAGGCATATCCTTTTAACACCTTCCCAGGCATCTGGTCCTTGTTCAACCACTTAGGTTTCCTTATACAGCACAACCTCATCCGTATTTTAGACACGGTTTGCATTTCGGCTGAACTTGGCCACATGTTTTAACTGTTACACTAAAAGTTTCGATCGTATTTAACCACGTTAGGCCAGCTCAGTTATTCCTATTACTTTCATTATCATATTTATACAGTTTACTTGCTATTGGTAAACCTCATTCAGTCTTGTTCATTTTAAGCAGTGTAGTTATATGTGCTGCTAATACTAATAAGATTATTCTAGCATTTGTCGTTGCTTACAACCCTATTTTCCTTACTAATTATGTATTTGCACATCACATAAGTGTTAATCAACCGCCTAAGCATTCCACAAGTATATCTTTTAAATGTCCTATACATGCGGTCTCCTCCTACGTACAGCATACGGCCATCATGGCCACAAGTCTGTTTAGCAACTGCTGCGTTCTAGAAGCAGGGGCCTTGGTTCCCGTTGTAACTCTGTTGGGTTTGGGATTCAATTATTGAATCACTGTACATAATTGGTTTTGGCACTCCACTTTTCACTTATTTCTTAATATCTTCTAGTATTCCAGCTGTCATTAATTCTGCCAGGTGTATGTGTAGCTAGTCATTTTCTTTGTTATGCATTTATGTTTCCAAATCACCACGTAAGTGACTTGCTTTACGTTACTACCTCCCTCCTTACAACTACCACTTGCTCTACAGAAAGTTACCTTTAGCTTGGTCTGGCTGCTAGGTTACCATAGGTAGTATTTAGGCTTCTTGTGCCACTAAATAGTCCTGTGAGACCAACTCCCATTTTGCTCCTCGGGCCAAATCATAATTAGTAATAGAAAAAGGAAAGGTGTGTCGGGTGCTCACTCCAAAACAAACAATTAAATAGGCAGCAGTAACCAATACAAGGATTCCCAGCCTTGTAAAAAAATACAGTATAGAAAGAAGAAAGGAGGAAACCGCGCCTTACATAAATTATATATACATACACTTGATGTCTCTTGATGGTTGTAAGTATATCCTCAAAAAAAGAACACAAAAAGAGAATATACAATAGTGTAGTATGTTTAACAATATTGGAAAAGATAATAAATAAAGCAGAGGTATTTTAAACTCACATATGGTAGAGCTATTATAGGAGCTCTACCGTAATTGGCCTGGACGGTACAATCCCTGTCTTAGGATAAAAGGTCCAACGTCTTGGCACTCCAATGGTATGGTGGTATGAATCAAAATGGAAAAAGAAGGGAAACTCCAATAGTGTAATAGTTCCAGCTCCAAATATGAATAAATAAATAAAAGTAATATACTCACATTTGCTAGAGCAGACAACTTGCTCTAGTATATAAGGCTTACAGTGGTATAATCCCCACTGAAGGATATGCAGGTCAGGAAGTGGATGATGCAAATGAAATATAATAGAATATAACGTAAAAGATATATTTAATAGTATTACAAATAAAATATAATATAATGCTATAAAAGATAACACTTAACGCGTTTCGCCAATGGCTTCATCAGAAGTGTAAAAAACATACATCCAAAACTTCCTATAAATACATAACTTACATGAGTAAAATGATTGTTACTGTTTTTCAGGTGTACCTCGGCAAAAAAACGCGCATAGGCGAAAGCCGGAAGTAGTGCGGCGTCCACGTGGGTGTTGGCAAGCCAGCGTGGAACGCACGCATCATAAACAGAAGCGGCGCGGCCAGCGTGGGCGCACATGTCAGGACCGGAAGCGGCGCGGCGTAGGCGTGTATGTCTTCATTCACTATGAAACGCACGCGTCGCGCCGGAAGTGACGCGGCGCCCACGTGGGTGAAAAAATGTAAATCATGCGTTCCAACGTGGAACGCATAACTGCCGCAACCGCAATCTATCACATAAAAAGAATTAAATACATAAAAAAGATAGAATGATACATAAACAAAACATATAGGTAAGATAGCAAATGGGCTTTACTTCCTTGATTTATAAGAGAGAAGTAGAAAGTTCATAAAAATTCTTTTCGCCAGGTAGTTCAAACATCTAGTGTTGCAGAATAGTGTCCCATCAATTAGAGATTAAAGATGTGTATGGAGGCAACAAGATATTATTTCTCTTTTTTTCTCCTTTTCTTATTCTTTTCTTCCCCTCCCTCTTCTTTGATGTAGGCATAAAGATGTGTAGGGTACATAGCATCCTTTTTGTGGAGGCAATCTTGAGCTTCCAATAATACATACAATGTCCATCATTCATTATTATAAGTCCAATTTTTTGTGAAAAGGATGTATAAAAAATAAATAAGATAAATAAATGGATGGTCCTATTATGTACATGTCTTAACAAATGTACATATATAGGTAACACAGAAATATAGGGATAGACACATATAAATAAGAGTATAAATATAAAATCAAATTTAAAACATATATATATATATATATATATATATATGAAAAATATGGAATAGATATAAAAATGAATACAGTAAAACAATAAAACAATTAAGAAATGGGGTGAATAAGAAAAAAATAGGATGATATAAGATGAGATGGAGAAAAAAAAAAAAAATAAATAAATAAATAAATAAATAAATTATAAAAAATTAAATAGATCGAATTCTATATTTAAACCATCTGGGTGTAGGGTATTCATATTGTAAACCCATTCCATCTCTCTACGTCCTATTTTTTTAATATAATCACCTCCCCTCCAGTGTGATTTAACGATGGCAATACCAGTGAAGGTGAGATTTTTAGGGTCATTGTCATGAATACAGAAATGGGATGAGACAGAATGATTTTTAAAACCTTTTTCTATGTTTCTACAATGCTCAGCAATACGAATTTTTAAAGGTCTAATAGTCCGTCCTATATATTGTAGGCCACAAGCAGGGACGTATTAGCCGCGAGGCAAACAAGGCATTTGCCTTGGGCGGCATTTTTAAGGGGGCGGCAAAAAACGCCGCCCCCCAAATGCCCAGGGCAGATGCCTTGTTAGCCTTGCGGCTAACTGACATCCCGAGCGGCCGGCGAGGGAGCACTTCCCATGAGCTGACTGCTCAGCTCCCTCGCGCACCGCAAAGTGAGGCTGGGAGCCGGAAGATGACGTCATCTTCCGGTTCCCAGCCTCACTCTGCAGCCGACGCGCGAGGGAGCTGAGCAGTCCGCTCATGGGAAGTGCTCCCTCGCCGGCCGGCCGCCCGCCTGCCAGCGCCGCCCGCCCTGCAGCCACTGGACCACCAGGGAGAGAGACCCTCCCCCACCCCCCAGCACTCCCAAAGGTAAGGAGGTTGGGGGGGGATTTAAATTAAAAAAAAAGTTAATGTGTGTGTGTTTGTGTGTGTGTGTCTGACTGTGTGTGTTTGTGTTTGTGAGTGTGTGTGTGTGACTGTGTTTGTGTCTGTGTATGTGTCTGACTGTGTGTGTATGTGACTGTGTGTGTTTGTGTGTGTGTTTGTGTCTGACTGTGTGTGTGTGTGTGTGTGTGTGTGTGTGTGTGTGTGTGTGTGTGTGTGTGTGTGTGTGTGTGTGTGTGTGTGTGTGTGTGTGTGTGTGTGTGTGTCTGTGTGTGTTTGTGTGTGTTTGTGTCTGACTGTGTGTGTATGTGTGTGTGTGTCTGACTGTTTGTGTCTGTGTATGTGTCTGACTGTGTGTGTGTGTGTGTGTATGTGTTCTGACTGTGTGTGTGTGTGTGTGTGTCTGACTGTGTGTGTGTGTATGTGTCTGACTGTGTGTGTGTGTATGTGTCTGACTGTGTGTGTTTGCGTCTGACTGTGTGTGTGTGTGTTTGTGTCTGACTGTGTGTGTGTGTTTTTGTGTCTGACTGTGTGTGTGTGTATTTAGAAGGTGGGGCGGGGGGAAGGGTTGGGTGGGGATGGCGCGGGGGGGAGGGGGGCGCCTGAGTTTTGTCCTGCCTAGGGCAGCACAAAACCAGGATACACCACTGGCCACAAGGGCATTCCAATAAATATATAACGTTTTTACTGTTGCATGTAATTATTTCTTTTATGTTATAGGACTTGCCGTTATTGTTTGATTTAAAATTCGATCTTAGTCTAGATGTAGATTTAGTTTTTTTACATGCAATACACATGTTGCACTTGTAGAAACCTTTTATTTTGTTTAAAAAACTGATCCCTATATTTTTTTCGGGTTTTGTGTAATTTTTTGTAAGATGCATCCTTAAGTTGGGCGCTCCCCTAAAAACTATTTTTGGTCTCTCTGGTATTAAATTTTTAAGAATAGTATCTTCTTTTAGTAAATTCCAATGTCTATTAATAATCTTTTTTAATTCTTTATTTTTGTTGTTGTAGTCTAATATGACAGGTAATGAGATATTTTGTTTTTGATTTCTCTTCTTAGTTAGTAGGTCTTTTTGGTTAATAGACAAGGCTTGATTAAAAGTGGATTGGATAGTGGTTTTATTGTACCCTTTTTTTAAAAAACTTTTTTTTATTGTTTCTGCTTGCTGTTTAAAAACTGGGGTTTCTGTACAGTTTCTTCTTAATCTTAACATTTGACTTTTTGGGATGCTGTCAAGCCATACTTTATTATGGCAGCTTTTAGTATCGATGTAATTATTGACATGGACTTGTTTGAAGTGAGTTTTAGTATGGATTGTGTTATTTTTTATATAGATATTTAGGTCTAAATATGTGATATGAGAATCACTGATTTCTGAAGTTAAAATTATACCTTCTTGGTTAGTGTTTAAAAAGGAAATAAATTTGTTAGTGTCACGAGCGTGGGCTATAGGCCCAGCCGAGACAGTGGGGAGAGTGTGGAAGTGACAGGGTTAATGACACCAGACCCCTGGTTACCTGTTGCTAGTCCCAGCAACCACTCAATTAACCCCTGCAATCCCTTCTACACTATCCCCCTTAGTACTACTGCCACCACCAAGACTTTTAAACCCGGGCGTCTTAGGTTACCCCACACACAGGAGAATTATAGTATCACAGTTCTACTTTTACTGATAAAACATATATAGTTAACCCTTTTTGGTAACGTGTTTACCTGAGCTTTCCTCTGGAGAGTGAAGCTCATAGAGAACAGAGACACAAGCTGATTAAGTAAACATTTAATCTGACAAAAAGGATTCACAGTGCTGAGTACAAAATACAGAAATAAATGACATACAGATAACAAATTGCAAAACAGTACATAAAATAAAATAGGAGAAAACACAAGAAATTCCTTACATATATTTACCCCATATAGAATTCTTGTGGGAGTCTTAGATGGTATAGATCTCCTAGAAGTTACTGACAAAAGAAAAATGAATAACTGACTTCCCTGGATAGTCCAACACCCTCATATATCTAAACTAGTTGTTTCTCAGTGGGCAGACCCCTGGGGGGGATCAGAGGGGGCTGGTCTGGCAGTCTATTGCCCACTCTATGAAATTCCTTGTGTCCAGCTCTGGTGATGGCTATCTAGATGTTTTATGGTCTAGGCCTGGTGCAAGATCAAAGACCACAATAAATGTCATCCCAAGGTTTACAAAAAAACTACTCTTAACATATATAAACACACATCAAACACCAACTCATGCTTTTGGCATGACACCTCCCCCTTAAGATGGTGGACAGAAAAATTAAGCCACA